CCCACAGGTTGAGAACCACTGATCTGATGGGGGCTGCACTCCAGCAACATCTGATGGGCTACAGATCACTCACCAAAACTCAGGAACTGGGGATGTTCAAGATACTAACTTACAGAGATGTTTAAATTAATGATCACATCATTTCATCTTGCCACAACATTAAGCATTGCATGTAACAGATCCCTGTCCATTGTACAATTTAAATTTCAACCCAGAAGCAAGAATAACAGGGAAAGATTATATGAAAATAAAATTGCAATTTGTGTAGCTTCTTTACCGGAATTTACCTATTCGTTATACTTTGAAGAATAGGTGAGTTTTCAGGAGAGAATGCAGGACCATGTGCTATGCCGGGATGGGAAATGTTTAACTCTCCAGATGTTGCATGAATGCAACTCCCATCATTCCTACGGTACATCTATGGTTAGAAATAGCAATCTTCTACAATCCTCCTATACTAGCTATTTGTTATGTATATAATTCAGATTGCTTATTGCATTATATATGTGTGTATTTGTATGTTTTCCTTAATTCTATGTTATGGGAGGGGCTGCAGACCATGGAACTTATTCAGGACTCAGACTCCATTTTAGAAACAGTACAGTTTAGACGCCAGTATAAACAGTATGCTTTCAGAAGTCAGTAGAAATGATATGCTTTAGGAAGACAGAGACTCTATTAGACTCTCAGACTGGAGAGATGCTTTAGACTATGGACTGTTAAGATTCTAAGAAAAATGCCCTGTGTTATCTGCACAGAGAAACTACTTCAAATCCTGTCTGTAACTGGATTGATATGGAATGGACCCATATGCTGAATACATGAAGTTTGTGAGTAAACTAACGATGTTATTTGATTTAAAACAGTGATTCCCAACCTGTGGTCAATGGACCACCAATGGTCCGCAAGAACTAAAACATGGTCCACAGCCTCACTGTTACTACACCATTGCAGCAGAGTGACTGGTCTCACAAAGCCTCTTATAGTGCCAAGGCTTATTAAATATGGTTTTCTGTGAGTGAGCAGATGGCAATTACTGGATGGCATATGTTCTGTATCAGAAACTAGAGCTGATATTGTCTACCCAATGAAATTTTCTGAATCAGCACCCCAAATAACCAAACTGAATCTAAAGTTGACCACAAACTGATTTATAACTCTTTTGGTGCTAATGTTGGAGAGTGGTCCCTGGTCAAAGTGTTCTCTGGTCAAAAAAAAAAAAAAGGTTGGGAACCACTGATTGAAAAGCAAGATGTTCTAAGAGTAAGTAGATGTTTTTGGGCAACTGGAAGGACACTTCTAAAACTCTGCTATATATGTTTTTGTGCATATCTTTTTTCCTAACAGCTCAAACAGATTTCTAGGTATATCATGAATGCTAGTGGATATTTACCACTAAGGAGAAAGTTGACTCAAGTGAGTTTTTAACTCTTCTCAGGGAGATTCCTGATTTTCCCAAGAGGTTATGAATATTCATTTTCCCAAAAGGTTATGGAAATTTCCATTTCCCAAAATCAACGCAGTTTGACACCACTTTAACTGCCATGGTTTTGTGCTATGGAATCCTGGGAATTGTAGTGTAGTAAGGCAACAGCACACTTTGGTAGAGAAGGCTAAAGACCTTGTTAAACGAGAACTCCCATGATTCCAAGACATTGTTCCATGGCAATCAAAGTTGTATAAGACTGCATTAACTCTACAATGTAGAAGCACCCTTAGTCAAGAGAATAAATAATTAGGGATTGTGGAAGTTGCAGTCCAATGACATCAGAGCACCTCATGATTCCCAACACTAAAACAATCAGCAAGACTATATTCTGCACATATTTAGAAGGTAAAAAATTGAAAGACCGTTTTGTTTTGAAAGTATGGATAGATCATTCGATGTAAAGCAGACTGAAATATATTAGACTCCTCTGTTACAAATATCCATAACTAAAGCTGTCTTCAATTTAGCATAGACATTGCTACTGACAATCAACGAAAGCATCATTTAGACAATATCCTATAGAATCCAAGTGCAGAGATATATATTTTTTACCCAGCCGACACAAAAACAAAGCAACCCCCCTCCCAGCCTTGGTACGCAGTTCCCAAGCATTGCCAGCCACCATGATGTAAGGCGACGGTTGTTGTATAACACCGAAGGTTTGGTGATTTGGAGATACTGCACCAGTTTCTCATCAAACACTTAGACAGTGCAAAGCAAGCAAACTAGTCGGGGGAAGGAAAAAATGCTGCAAAATTGCTCAGCGTTGGAGGAAGCCAGAGGGAGAAACTGACACTGCAGTGATAATGCTGCAAGAATAACATTAACGCGCTCTGTCTGGTTTTTCAGTTTAGGAGAGAGGTCCAGAAAATATGCCTGTGGACAGAAGAGCGCCTGCGCAGTGCAGCTGTGGCCCGAATGGACAGTCTGGGGGCAGTCAAGTGGATTAATCTGGATTGCAAGAAGACGGAGGCAGGGGGGAGGCCCGATTAGTACTGACATAGTTCCCCATCTCCATCAGCAAATACATTCCGCTTGTTTTCCTGGCTGGCTGGCTGGCTGGATCTCCCTCCGTTCCCCGAGTTCAATGCCTTCAGGGAAGGGGAAGGATATTTCATACACTGTGGCACTGGAAAGCACGAACGACCAAAAGCAGCACTGGGAGAGCCATGAAAATGTTAAGTGCGTGCATACCCCTCTCGCCCATCTTTTCCTAATGCTGGAAGCATGATACAATGAAAGAAAGTGCATATGAATAATAACCACATGACTGTCCTTGAAGAGTTTAAAATAATAAGAATATGTGGATATGGAGGTCCAATTTTGATTAGAGTGATGATGACACTATTAGAGTTTGATCTCCGTTGCAGAATCTCTGGCTACGGAGATCTGATTCCAATAATAACAACAACAATAATAGAGTCAAATCTCCTTGGCGAAATCACTGTCAATGGAGATATGATTCTATGGGTAATAATAATAATAATAATAATAATAATAATAATAATAATAAGAGCTGATTTCCAGATTCCATGTCTATTATTATTATTATTATTATTATTAGGGTTGGCTCCCTCTAGAAAAACGACTGTCTGTAATAGTTCTTATTATATTATTATTATTATTATTATTACTATTATTATTCGATACACAACAGGATTGGTATACAACAAACAAGATCATTATGCTGGCTTTTGTATTTGATCACACATCGGACACTTCCCAAGTGTCTAGGATTGTGTGATGTATCAGCAAATAATGCGTGCAGTTCCGATTGTTTTTAAGTACAGGCCAAGGTCTTTAGGCATTGCACCCAGTGTGCTGATCACCACTGGGACCACCGTTACTGGCTTGTGCCAAAGTCTTTGCTTTTCTATCTTATAATAATAATAATAATAATAATAATAATAATAATAATAATAATAACAATAATAATAATAATTAGGGTTGGCTCTCTGCAGGAAAACTACAGGCTCTAATAGTCATTATTATTATTATTATTATTATTATTATTTGATACATAACAAAATTAGTACACAGCAAACAAGATCACTATGCTGGCTTTTGTATTTCATCACACATTGGACGCTTCCCAAGTGTCTAGGACTGTGTGATGTATTTGTGAATAATGTGTGCAGATCCGAGCAGAGTGGCCTTTTGCAGCTGACAGACGGTAATGTTGTCAGCTCTGGTTCTTTTTAAGTGCAAGCCAAGGTCTTTAGGCACTGCATGCAGTGTGCCAATCACCACTGGGACCACCTCGACTGGCTTGTGCCAGAGTCTTTGCAGTTTGATCTTTAAATCCTTATTATTATTATTATTATTATTATTATTATTATTATTATTTGAAACACAAAAACCAAACACGATCACTTATTATTATTATTATTAGGGTTGACTCTCTTTAGGAGAACTACTGTCTGTATTATTATTATTATTATTATTATTATYATTATTATTATTATTTGATAGATAATAAGATTAATACACAGCAAACAAGATCACTATGCTGGCTTTTCTATTTGCTCACACGTCGGACACTTYCCAAGTGTCTAGGACTGTGTGATGTATTTGTGAATAATGTGTGCAGATYTGAGCAGAGTGGCCTTTTGCAGCTGACAGATGGTAATTTTGTCAGCTCTGGTTGTTTTTAAGTACAGGCCAAGGTCTTTAGTGCCAATCACCACTGGGACCACCTTGAYGGGCTTGTGCCAGAGTCTTTGCAGTTTGATCTTTAAATCCTCCTTGTTATTAGCCAGTAGGCTGTTAGGAATTGTGGGAGTTGAAGTCCAAAACACTTGGAGGGCCGAAGTTTGCCCATACCTGTACGACACCATGATACATAATATAACTTGAAATTCTATTTATGGGGGTCCTGGAAACAAATCCCAGTGCATACCAAGGGGCTAACAAACAGCCAGCCCTCCCTACTTATGAATTCTGCTTCAGGGTTTTCAATATCCACGGCTTGAAAAATATATATATTTCAAAATAAACCCCAAAAAAACCCTTGATTTGATCATTTGGTAATAAGGATATAAAATGGTATAAAATGGGACTTGATTATTCAGACTTTGGTATCTATGGCAAGATCCTGGATCCAAACCCCAGCTGATACTAAGAGCCTCCCAGCCCTCCCCATCCACGGATCCTGCATCAGGGGTTCCAATATCCACGGCTTGGGGGGGAAAATCCAAAAAAATATATTTTTTTCCATTGTATATCAAGGATCTCATGTCGACTACGGAATTGCCTAGAATGGGACATGAGACCTTGGTATCAATGGCAGAGCCCAGGAACCTAGTAAATATTACTTGGAGCAGGCTGTGTGCCTGTTCTGATGGCCTGAAATGAAAGAGAGGGGTGTAGCAAAAGGCTCCAAGAGGGAGCCTTTGGGAGAACGGCTCCAGGGCTGGAAGCCTGGCTTTTTTTTTTTTTTTGGGGGGGGGGGGGGGGGGGGATCAAAGGGAAAGGGGTGGCTTCAAAGGAGAGGGAGCCCGGTCTCACTCACCTTGATCTTTCCTGGAAAGCGGTCCTCGGAGAGAGAGACAGAGAGAGAGAGGCTCCTTCCAATGCAAGGCAAGGCGAGCCAAGGCAAAGCAAAGCAAAGGGGAGGGACTGGCTTCCCCGCCTCCAGGAGATGCGCCGCAACGCAGCAAAGGCCGGCTCTGTCGCCTCCTCGAAGGGGAAAAAGGCAAGGAGAGAGAGAGAGAAAGACAGAGAGAGAGGGAGAGAAAAGGGGGCTGGGCCGCCGCTTTGTCTGCCCTCGGCCCCCCGCTCCCCCCTGACTGCCTTTGGGACATCAGGCTATGGAATGGATGCAGCCTGGCCCACCACTTCAAGGCAGGGCTTCTCAGGCTTCCTCATGCCTTGCCTCCTCAGTGCAGTTCCTCATGTTGTAGTGACTCCCCAACCATCACATTATTTTCCTTGCTTACTTCACAACTGTAATTTTGCTCCTCTTATGAGTGGACATGTAAATATCTGGTATGCAGGATGGACTTCCATTCCCTGGGCCAAATTTGGCACAAACACCCTGTACGCCCAAATTTGAATACTTGGTTTGATGGATTTTGTCATTTGGGAGTTGTAGTTGCTGGGATATATACTCCACCTACAATCAAAGAGCATTCTGGACTTCACCAATGATGGGATTGAACCAAACTTGGCACACAGAACTCCCATGACCAACAGAAAATACTGCAATGGTTTGGTGGGCATTGACCTTGGGTTTGGGAGTTGTAGTTCACCTACACCCAGAGAGCACTGTGGACTCAAACAATGATGCATCTGACCAAACTTGTCATGAATACTCAATATGCCCAAATGTATGGAGCCCCCAGTGGTGCAGTGGGTTAGACCCCTGTGTCGGCAGGACTGAAGACCAACAGGTCGCAGGTTCGAATCCGGGGAGAGCATGGATGAGCTCCCTCTGTCAGCTCCCTCTGTCAGCTGTGGGGACATGAGAGAAGCCTCCCACAAGGATGATAAAACATCAAAACATCCGAGCGTCCCCTGGGCAACGTCCTTGCAGACAGCCAATTCTCTCACACCAGAAGCGACTTGCAGTTTCTCAAGTCACTCCTGACATTATATATATATATATATATATATATATATATATGCCCAAATGTGAACACTAGTGGGTTTTGGAGGAAATAGACCTTGACATTTGGGAGTTGTAGTTGCTGGGATGTATAGTTCACCTACCACCAAAGAGCATTCTGAATTCCACCAACGATGGAAGTGAACCATCGCAGGGATGGAAAGTGAGGTGAAATCTCTGAACAGGGGCCAGACAGCAAGCCAAACACCTATCTATTTATCTATCTATCTTCAAAGCATGTGTGCATGTGTCTATCTATTATCTATCTATCTATCTATCTATCTATCTATCTATCTATCTATCTATCTATCGCTGGAGTTACACCTGAAAAAAAGTACCTGTTCTGACTTACATACAAATTCAACTTAAGAATAAGCCGGCAGAACCTATCTAAATGTGGTTTCGGGGCTGTGTTGTAACAGCCTTTTCTCCTAACGTTTTGCCTGCATCTGTGGCTGGTATCTTTAGAGGATCTGATAGTGGTAAAGCAAGTGGAGGAGATTTATCTGTGGCATGTCCAAGGAAGGAGAAAAAGCCAATGTCTATTAACCAGGCATGAAGGGTGCCATTAGCAAGCTAGATTTTTATGTGTAGAGTGGGCTCCACCCATTAGCAAGTGAATAGGGCATCTGCATGGAAGTAGCCTGGCTTTTGTTCCCATCTTCGATCCTGTCAAAAAGCTCTTACCAACAGGAAGGTCTTCTTTTGCTTCAGAGTCCAGCTTGGCTCTTATCATCCTCCACAGTAAGGACCCAATATTTCCATTTTGAAAACTGACTCATGGACATTCCTTGGAGATGTTGTAGAGTTTGTGCTTTGTGGCATCACTTTTACAATAATGGCTCAATGCTATGGAATCATGGAAGTTGTGGTTTAGTGTGGCACCAGCACTTTTGGGCAGAGAAGACTAAAGACCTATATAACTACAACTTCCAGGACTGCATATACATTTTGAAACTATACATCCATTGAGGCTGACCGCCATCATCTTAAGTATGAGTATCATTACACTTATATTAATGCTGTCATGACATAATAATTAATTATCATCAATAATGACACACTAGCATAGCTTTTGAGGAAGCTTCATTATTTTCCATCTTTGATGAATTACTACTTCAAGCCAAGGACAAAAGCCACTGCTTGTATGGAAGCAACTGAATTTATAGGGAGCCTCCTCACAATTTTTGTTTCACTGTCTCACCCATGTCTTTTCCATCTTCATCATTCCTGGCCATTTCTATACATCTTGTGGCAGCACTGATATTTGCTGATGCTAGGATGTGCATCCCTGGCCCCCATCTGAGGTGGGCTCTTGCTCTCCACTGAAAACGTGGGAATAAATTAGGAATGACAACTGACAGGAATGGGAATGACATGACATTGTTGTGGCCATGTATGTTCCTTGACAGGTAACCACCAATTACTAGTAAAAATACAACAGACCTGCTATTGTGAAGGAAGAGATAGAAAATGAAGCACTGGAATAGTCTTCCGTTCTGGTAGATTGTGCTTTGATATAATTTCAAGGCCAGAATTCTGGTTTGGCCTTCTGAAGATTAGACACATGAAGCATCTACCCACTTCCATATTTTATTTTATTTTTTAAAAATATGACTTCTAGTCAAAATGGTAAACAGACTTTGACTCCTATACAGGATGTCTACAGCCTACACCGCTGGAGAAATTAGACTGTTCAGTCGGTATTGCATAACCTGACATCCATCGGGAAGTAGCAGCCAGTGATGAAAGGACCAAGGCACGGACATCTCCGGCCCATCCTCTGTTCGGATATCAGTCAGCAAGCCAACGCCTTAAATCAAGAAATAGCTTCCTGAGGTCTACAGACATACTCGCAGGAACTCCTCAGCAAGCAAGAGTCCAAAAGTAGCAGGTTAAAACCCAGAACCTCAAACAGTGGTTGATACCAGATAAGAAACTCTCTCATGAGAGACTCCCCCCTGGGCACACAGAAGACTGGGTGACTTGGAAGGTGCTGAACAGACTGTGCTCTGGTACCACAAGATGCAGCGCTAAGCTTAAGAAATGGGGCCACAAAGTGGAATCCGAAACGTGAGTGTGGAGAAGAGCAAACCACAGATCACCTACTACAATGCAGCCTGAGCCCTGCCATATGCACAATGGAGGACCTTCTTATAGCAATACCCAGGGCACTCCAAGTGATCAGCTACTGGTCAAAGGGCATTTAATATAATGCCAAGTTTTTAACTTTGTGATTTTTCTATACATTATAGCTTTATTCTCAATTCGTTTCTGACACAATAAATAATTCAGAAAATGAGGGCAAGAGCAGCACTAACAAATGGGCAGATATCATAAAACATAGGATAGAAATGACCCAAGCGAGAGTAGCATTGGGCTGGAAAGAGCAGAAAAAATGGGAATTAAAACATAGTTTGAATATTTAGCGGAGTAAGGAGAATTGGGACTCGAAATAGGGAACTCTGATAGCTAGAGTAAAAAGAAAAAGAAAATATAAAGAACTCTTCATGATTGATCAATTCAAATAATACTTAAATTGAAGATTCAAGATGCCAGGGTTGTGATGTTTATGTTGGTTATTATTGCTTTGTGTTATTGCTTTGTGTTATTGTATTTTGTGTGTTTGCACCTTTGAGTGCTTTGTGAGCCGCCCTCAGTCCCTCCGGGAGATGGTGGCGGGGTATAAATAAAGTTTTATTATTATTATATTAGTGGTGCAGGTATTGGACTACAACCCTGGACATCACTCAACCTTTAAATATGCAAGTTAAGATACAGATACAACTATTCCCAGTAGGTGGGGGTCAAAGGCGGAGGGAAGAAAAACTGGTGGACACAAGTGGTTGATAAGTATGGAATTGGGATTGGTAAGGTTAAGTAAATAAGATACATTATATTGAGCAAGAATGTAAGTGGAATTTCATTATTGAGATTTGTATTACTCTATTTGTGTCTACAATTAATTTAAAAAAATTAAAGGTAAAAAAAATAGTTTGGGAGACAGCGGGGAAGTGATCCTGACATTAATTTTCTCCTTTCTGTTTTAAAAATGGCCTATTTCTACTATTTCTAGGGCAAGATATTTGAGCATGGATACCTATCAAGAGAGACAGCAAGGATGTGCTCCAATCCCTTTGGACTCCTGGGTTTTTGCTTAATATGTAGTGACAACCTATACAAGGCTATACAAAAGTAGGTTACCTCAAGTTTCATGGAATATATTTCCAAATAACTGTATGTAGGACTTCAGCCATAGTTACTGTATAAATTCACAAATAAGTCTAGAAATGTTAGCCACAAAATTGACCCAAAAAATCTGGGTGGCCTTATCCATGGGTCAATGTAAATACTGTATCTCAGCTCTCATCCGAAAAGGAACCTTCTTGTATGGCTGGATGGGAAAATGGCAGTAGGCCTTTGGCACTTCCCCTCAAAGGCATGCCAAGAGCATAGAGGGTTTAGTATTTCTTTTAGGTTCCTCTGGAATGGACAAAGTTCTTGCCTTTTGCTACTCAGAGAAGGATATGGTTACTGTTTTAAGAAATAAGAGAATACAATCGGAGCACTCTGGACTCCACCAACAATGGAATTGAACCAAATTTGGCACATAGAACTCCCATGGCAACAGGAAATACTGGAGGGGTTTGGTGAGCACTGACTTGAGTTTTGGAGTTGTAGTTCACCTACATCCAGAGAGCACTATGGTCTCAAACAATGATGGATCTGGACCAAGCTTGGCACGGATACTCAATATGCCCAAATGTGAACACTGGTGGAGTTTGGGGAAAATAGACCTTGACATTTGGGAGTTGTAGTTACTGGGATTTATAGTTCACCTACAATCAAAGAGCATTCTCATCCATAGAATTGGGACAAACTTCTAACACAGAGCCCCCAGGACCAACAGAAAATGCTGTGTATTGTCGAAAGCTTTCATGCTTGTTTCCTGATGTCTTTGTTGACCCAGCGGGGTGTTGTCCTTGCAACCCCCGCAGAAGTCCCGACCCCCCCAGTTGAGAAATGCTATACTAAAATGTATCAAGATAGGTTTAGACAACAGAATCCCTATCTACCCATGTCCAATTTGCATAGCCAAGGATTTGTTTTATTGGCAAGACACCTGTCTTTTCTCATCTTTATCAAATGTATGGATCCATCTTACCAAGGTCTTACTATTCACATGTCAGAGGTGGAAGGTTCAATGCTGAATAGCTCTCTGTACCACAGAAAAGCACTGTTTGTGAGCACTATTGTGTATGTAGATGCATGTGATCACTTTATTTTGGTGGAATATCTAGGGCACTGGCAGATTAGTGGCTGTAATGTGTAAGCTATTTATTCTGTGGTGCTTTGGAGTACCGCAGTAGGACTGCTAGGAACCAATTTTTAAATAAGTGACATATATGGGTCAAAATCCATTTAGCTGAAGCAAAACTCCCGACAAAGTATGAAACAGGGATGGGACACATGCGAATATTATTGGACTGCAACGTTCATCCTCTGTTGACCTCGGCTACCCTGACTAAGAGAAACTACAGTATAGTCACAGCTGGAGAGCAATATATTCCCCATTCTGTATAAAAGCTTGCACTTTAATAACTGAATCTCTGTTACAAGGAAGTTTTGAAAGCTGAATATGTTCTTTCAAAATCAGCTACCTCCACGCTTACTTCTACTTCTTTTCTTTTCAGTCTTGCTACAAGACTTCTTTTCAATTGTGCTTCCAACACAAAGCTCAAATCTGACATCATTTCTGGAGAGGCCAGAGTAAGAGTGAGCAATTATGGGAATTGTAAGCATATAACAAGTGGGAGTCAGGGCCCTTCCACTCTCAGCCATATAACCCAGACTATCAAGGTAGATAATCCACAATATCTGCTTTGAACTGGGTTATTTGAGTCCACACTGCCATATAACTCAGTTCAAAGCAAATAATGTGGAATTTTATACAGCTGTGTAGAAGGGGCCTCAAAGAACCCATTTCCCATGTAGACTAACTTTGGGGATTTCCCTCCCTGCAGAACGGTGTTCTTCTTTGGCACTCCAAAAAGTATCCTTCAATCAGTTGACCAACTATGACTTTTGAATCCTTAGAATGTACTGTATGGGGAGAGTCAATGCATCAATTCCACACAGCCCTATATCCCAGAATTATCAAGGCACTCCCACAATATCTGCTTTGAATTGGGTTATCTGAGTCCACACTCAGGTAATGTGGGATTTTCTGCCTTGATATTCTGGGATATAGGAGTGTGGAAGCGCCCCAAGAAAGTCGAATGAGATGCCTTCAGCTACAAGATAAACAAGTCATTGCTCTAAGGGATCTCCCTTCTGGTATTTGAAATGCTGTTTCTTCTCCTTGTTAGAATCAGTTTAAAGGCTTTGCTCTGGTAAGTGCCATCCCTTCTCTTTTTATGGCTTAATAGCCATTACATTTCCCTTTCAAACTCCCCAGTGGACACAATGGAGCCATGGATTCAAATGGCAGGAAAAGACGCTCCGCCTAAACATTAGGAAGAATATCCTGATGTTAAGAGCTATTCAGTGGTGGAATATTTTTCCCGGGAGTCGAGTGGAGTCTCCTTTTCTGGAGGTTTTTGAGCAGAGGCATGCCTTGCCATTTATTTGCCAGGTAATTAATTCCATTGTTATAGCCCCAAGTTCAAAGAATGCCCATGGATTGCTATGAGTTTTCCGAGCTGAATGGTCGTGTTCCAGAAGCATTCTCTCCTGATGTTTTGCCCACATCTATGGCAGGCATCCTTAGAGGTTGTGATGTCTGTTGGAAACTAACCAAGCAAGGTTCCAAACAAAGGTTCTCCCCAGACAGCAACCAGCCAGGCTTTGAAGCTACAAGGCTATTAAATGCTAATCAAGGTGGCCAATTGCAACATTCACACTTGCCTCAAGCAGACAAGAATTCTTTCTCCTACCCAGGACATTCCACAGATATATACAAACCTCACTTGCCTAGTTTCCAAGAGACCTCACAACATCTAAGGATGCCAGCCATAGATGTGGGCAACACATCAGGAGAGAATGCTTCTGGAACATGGAGTAATGGAGAACCATGGCACTTCCATGTCTTCCGATCAATTTAGAGTACTTTTACCAATACACATTGGTGTATGAATAAGATGTAATCAGATTGGAGGTAAAGTATCAGTGTTAATATGAATACATTACAATTCTGTTTTAAAAATCCATTTATAAGGAGTCCTTTTAAAACTATTTATAAGGAGTCAGAGGTTGTGATGAGAACTCACAACCTCTGTGGATGCCTGCCATAGATGCAGGTGAAACATCAGGAGAGAATGCTTTTAGAACATGGCCATACAGCCCGGAAAACCTACAACAACCCACCTTTTTAAGGACATTTACAGCCAGAACAGGACAATGTACCCTTTCATAGGCATTTCATTCGTAAAATAAGGGAAAACGTGACATGTTTTGAGGACTTGTTTATTCACAGTTTTCTTTAATAAACATTTTGCTGACTTTGTTGTGGACATACACATAAATATCTATGGCTCAGGTTATAATGCATATACTGTTAAATGTTAGAAAATACTAAATGCACTGTAGTAGTAGCACTACTTCCCCTTCTTCCTATTATTTTTTTCACTTTTCAAGAGGAGTCAGAAACAAAGCTCTGCTCCTCCTAGCAACCTGGTTGTATATCTTTCTGTTTGTTGACTCTACAAGTACATTGCTATTGGCTTGCACCCAACATCAAAGCAATATAGTACCAGTTTGCGTTATATTACAAAGCAAATATTGTATCTTGCACTTAGTAACTTGTTAGCAGCATTTTTGTCTATATACCTACATACAGTTTTATAATACTTTAAAGCTTTTCTTTGCCATAATGCCTAGTGGCGCATACACAGAATCTGTATCAGAATTTAATGGTGGGATCCATGTTTGGTTTTTCTTTTTCTCTTTGAGCAGTTGAGCTCAATTACATATGACAAACTATTTCTAAAATAGAAATATTTATTGCAGAGGAGGTTGTTTCAAGACCAACAGCTTCAAAAACTGCTGAATTCAGAAAACTGTCCTTGTTTCTCTGGACCTTCTTGGTGAATGACAGCAAAGTTAATGAGGCTACTTAGAGCCAGAAACACAATGAGCTCCATAAAGCATTGAGGTATGCAACTCGACAGTTACAATAAATGACAAATGCAGGTCAATCCTGTTGCTTATGCCGCTAGAATTTAGTCCACTGGCTTTTCAAATAGTACACAATGGATACAAGAGCGCACATGTTGAATTGGTACCAATTCGTTTTAGGAATTAGTGGTCTTCTCTAAGTTGTAGTCAATGTTGGGGAATGTGTTGCCTTCCTGTTGTCGTTGAACTTGAGTTCTTATCATCACTACTCAGCATAGTCCACTCTGTATCATAGTCCACAACATCTAGAGAGCCACACATTCCTTTTTCCTGGCCAAATGGGTTCACCTAATACATATGACAACCTTTACAGCAAATCAAACAGAGCAGTCAAACTAAAACAGAGAAGAGTTATTCCAACTAGATTGAAATTAAGAATGTATTGGGCACATTGGGGCATGAGGTAATGTATTTTTTCTTAGCTGTCATAGAAACCATAAGCTCTTTTTGTTGACCACTGCCTGTCCTTCCAGTAAATGACCCAACACTCAACTGGATGTTATTTACTTCAGTTTATATTTGGCCATATTTGCAGCTCTGGTATTCCAAGACAGTGGTTTTAGAGGCAGGGTTTGAAGTTAATGTTAATGTAAAAACAGCTGGAGCTACAAAGATTGGTCAGTTTATTATTACAAGTTATCTAGTGATCGCATAACAGATCTTCGGCTTCATCTCCAAGTAAAACAAGCCAACTCTTATTTCTGATACTCTTAGATTTATTCACCTGCATCATTCTAGGACTGGATCCAGACTTGGTCATCTTTGCAGTAGTTCTACCAATATAATTTGAAGGAAATCTCATTGATTTCTCTGTCTACTTGAAGCATGACCAAAACTGGTCTCAATCTTAGTGATCCTCTTACCAGTAGCTGGTCATTTTTTGTGTGTCAGAAGCGATTTGAGAAACTGCAAGTCACTTCTGGTGTGAGAGAATTGGCTGTCTGCAAGGAGGTTGCCCAGGGGACATCTGGATGTTTTACCATCCTGTGCGAGGCTTCTCTCATGTCCCTGCATGAAAAGCTGGAGCTGATAAATGGGAGCTCCTCAGATTCGAACCCCCAATCTTTCGGTCAGCAGTTCTGCAGGCACAAGGGTTTATCCCAATGCACCACTGGGGCCTTCAGTAACTGGCCATAATTCATTGGCTCCTCAGTATCTGCTAGGGCTTTGTTCCAGGACCCTCAGTGGATACGAGAATTAGTGGGTGCTAAAAGCCCCAATATATAATGGCCTAGTAAAATGATGTCCATTATGTAAAATGGTAGACTGCTGAAATGAGTGCTGGAGGGAGCCTGAGGATCTGTGGAATGGCAGATGACAGCAGAGTATAACTACACATCGGCCATGTGTTTGGCATAGCAAAACTAAGGTGTCCTATCTTTAAAAAATTGAATATTTTCAAGCAGTGCTTGACTGAATCCAGAAACCCAGAGCCTGTGGATATGTAGGGCTCACTGTATGGTCTTCCATATTAAAGTTTCCCATTGGAGTCCACTTTACATCAATGAATAAAAGAGTGAAGTAACATTTCGGGTGGTCCAGCACCACTGATTATGACCTAGCTACCCCTTGTGAATCTACTATCATAACCGGTTTAGCAATTTATCTACAACTTCCAAACCATCAGACCTTCAGAAATTCTCTCTCATACAGCGAAATGGGTCAAAACAGTATTGTGTTTCCACAAACTCAGATCTATCTAGTAAAGTAGCCAGCTTAAAGAAGTCAATGAAGAGGAAATGAAGTGCTGGCAACTTTCAAAGCTGGCATCTCTCAAAGCACTGTTTAAGAGAAGTTGTAATGCATTTTGGATGGAAAGAGGTGTGCTCTGGGCTTGCAATTCACAGGCTGCAAGCTTTACAATGTCTCCTCTCAGTAATAGCAAATTAGAATGGGATTTACTCCTGTATCAAAATTCTGGGGACTGGATGAGGGACTGGATATGGTAAAAATTCTGGGGACTGGATATGGTCAAAACAAGACTGTTTTGACCATAAAGACATCGCCAGTGATGCAAAGGGTTAAACTCTTCTGCCAGCAGGACTGCTGACCAAAAGGATGGCGGTTTGAATTTGGGGAGCAAAGTGAGCTCCCATCTGTCAGCACGAGCTTCCCATGAGACATGAGAGAAGCCTCCCACAGGATGCTAAAACATCCCTGGGCAATTTCCTTGCAGACAGACAATTCTCTCACACCAGAAGCGACTTGCAGTTTTTTAAGTTGCTCCTGGCACTAAAAAAAATTCATTTAAAACATGTCACATCTCATGAATTGGAGTGTGGTGAATCTCCTTTTCTGGAGGTTTTTAAGCAGAGTCTGGATGACCATCTGACGGGAGTGCTTTGACTGTGTTTTTGCATAGCAAAAATGGGGTTAGACTGAGTGGTCCTTGGGATCTCTTCCAACTCTAGGATTCTGCGTTCTGTATGGAAGTGCACGTTATAACATGCCTCTTTCTACAGATATTAGGGAGTGAGTTTTGCCAGTATTCACAACAACTAAATTCCAATCAAATCCTGCATTAACAATACATCCTGTCAGCAGGCACTGATGTTTTGTATAGTGTTGTATTCTCTTAATATGAGAGATCGCTTTATTTTGCATATGTTTCGCTACGATTTTCCCCATTCCCAATGTTGGTCAGAGCATATATGCTCTATATGTAAAGGGAGAACATTCCATTGCCAGCAACAAAATGTACTATTGTCAAATGAGCACCAAAATATGAACTACAGTCCATACTTGTTAAACTATGCATTCCGTATAGGTATTGGGAATGATCACATGATTCATTTTCCCTTCCACAAAGATTCTTAATAAGTAAAATGTGTAAAACCTTTGTTTTGTGTTTCCGTTTTTTAAACATTTATTTTCCGCAACATTCATTTTTAAATACTAAATATTAAAATTAGCATTAAATGTTCATTAGTGTATAAACTAAGGTAGTATATGAAAAAAAAACCCCTACATTTCATTTTGTGTGATACTTCCTTGAGGCAATATATTACAGATTTATCTATACACCCAGGAGTTAAACTAGCAGACTATACTGAAATAATTATTGCTCAAATATGTTTGGTAACATAAGCAGCATGGGCATTGTACTGCTTTGTAAGGAGATATTATTTAGGAAAGGCTAATCAGTGGAATGCTATTTGCTCCTTGCCTTCATGTTGTGTTCTGCAAGCCATAAACTATAAATCAAATGAAGGCATTAACGGTTTTTAAAAAACCCTCTTGAATTACACCTCTTCTTCTGTTAGAGTGCTTCCATTTAGAGTTAAATATTTACAAATACAGTTCTAAATGAGACTTTTCAGGATATCTGTAGGTGCCTTCAGAAAGAAAAAACACAAGACTTCAAAACAAACTAGTCTTACAAGTAGAGCTTTGCAAGAATCAATGCTTAACTCAAAACTCATATGAAGATGATGCAATCATGATTCCTTTTGAAGAAAGTTCACTATCATGGGTTTAGATTTTTAGAGCTCAAGCAGATGTCTTTTACAGAGACACAGTTTCAAATCTTTAACAACGGGATCTGCCAAACCATCACAGATGAAACCAGTTCGTCGGGACGCTGCTGCTTTGCCTTCTTGTTCACCCTTCTGTGCCCTTGTCCTCCAGAGATGACTAAGACCGAGATCGCTTTCCCTTCTTTGGACCGACGTTTCTTACCCTGGTTGAGAGAGACTTCCTTCAAAAGCTCATACACCGCACTCTCCTCAGGCCTGTGTTCAGTCGTGGTTGATCCATGGGACAACGTCAACGATCCAGAAGATGAAGACAAGTCACTCTTTTGAGCAATGGATCCTATTGAACCTCCCAACCAAATAGCACTGTCATTTGGGTTGCTCAGGGAAGAGCTCGGCTGTTCGCTGGGAACAGCATTCTGCTGGTCTTCATCTTTCAGTCCTGAATGAAGATCCCTTGATTTGTTTTTGCTACGCTTGCTTGTCACAGAGGCCATGACAAGGAACTTAACAGGGCCATTGTGGGCATGGTAGGAGACCATTCCTCTTCCTGGAATAAAATTTAAGAAAAGAAAAGAACGATCAGATAGGTTAACCAGACAGGTGGAGTTGGAGTGGCTGGAAACTAACAGGAAAATGAAAAGTAGGTGAGATGGGATACTTGCAAATGTATTCTATTCTTGATTGACAAAACAGCTTCTATATCCACCACCAGGAAACAGGTATGTCCATAAATGCAACCCGATGGAATTGTTTGTTTATTTATTTATTTTATTGCATTTATATCCTACCCTTCTCAACCCTGAAGGGGATTCAGGGCGGCCTTACAATGGCAACAATCCAATGCCATATATTAATGCATTGGTAAATAAATAAAAACATTAAAACCAAACCCATTAAAAATATAGCATAAAAGCATCAATTAAAATCACATGGTCCAAATTTTATTCCAGGGCCGGTCTGAGTCGTCATTATATCAATTTGTATATTGCACTACTCTTGTTACTGGCCGAAAGCATGATACCAGAGCCATGTGTTCAGTTTTTTCCTGAAGGTCAGGAGGGATGGCACAGATCTAATTTCACTGGGGAGTTCCACAGCCAAGGGGCCACCACTGAGAATGCCCTGCCCCTTGTCCCCACCAACTGCACCTGTGAGAGACATGGGACCGAGAGTAGGGTCTCCCCCAGCTATCTTAATCTCTGAGGTGGGTCATAGAGGGAGATACGTTTGGAGAGGTAAGCTGGGCCAGAACCATTTAGGGCTTTATAGGATAAAGCCAGCACTTTGAATTGTGCTCGGTAGCAGACTGGCAGCCAGTGGACGTAACAGGGGAGTTGTGTGCTCCCTGTATGCCACTCCGCTGCTGCCCGTTGGACTGTTTGAAGATTCCAAACAATCTTCAAAGGCAACCCCATGTAGAGCATGTTGCAGTTGTCTATTCTCGATATAACAAGAATGTGGACCACTGTGGCCAAGTCTGACTTCCCAAGGTACGGGTGCAACTGGTGCACAAGTTTTGATTGTACAAAAGCTCCCCTGGCCAGCACTGAAACCTGGGGTTATGGAACAATCCACATCTGCTCTGGAATTGAGCATTTCTTCGACTGTAAGACACTGTTGATTGTAATACGCACCCTAATTTCAGTACCAGCACCACCATCAAAAATGCATAAGATACTTTTGCAATTCTAAGATGCACCCCATTTTAGATATGTTTATACAGGAAAAAGTATGTCTCAGAGTTGAAGAAATACAGTGACCTCATGCTCAGCTACTCTTGACTGCCAAATAACTGGACATTATTAAAAAGCAGCTTGAATATTGTTTCATTAGTCACTCTATCCTTAGGATTTATTCTCTTTAACTAGTAGTTATGCAACACTGAACAAATCCCTTGTGGAATTATTGTATGTCTTTTGCATACTGTTATGTTAACTAGGATACATATTATTAGATTAATATGAGTTTAGTGACATTTCTCTTGCTGAGGCATTACTCACTGACATGGGGAAACCCAATGACTTAAATCCAGAATGTGAAAAGGTTCCTCATGGGAAGCCCAATTCATGAGAGATGACTTTGCCCAATGTGGGGGGATTTCCTCTTCAATGTAACATTCTGGGATGGGAGGGTTGCTAAAGGAAGCTGGATGGGGAGGGGAGTCTAGGCTGGTTGGGGACTTCTCATGTCTGGATCCAACACAATGTAATGGTCAATCTACACATGGTAAACATAATTGAATTAACCTCACAACCTCAACACTGGGTTTGGATGCCAACCCATAGCAAGTGTTTGCTGCAGTTCTTTGGTAATTTGAATTGAACTGATTTCTGCTCATTAGTTGACGTAAACCCCTGCTGCCTATGCATTTTTGCAGGTTGCCTTCTAACTTTCGCCAGGCAATAAGGATTCTCTGTGTTTTTGGCTCTGATTCCACATCTTCTGATCTTTCCCTGCTGCTACTCTTCCTTCCTGCTTACCTACCCCTGGGTCTACATATGGAAAAACAATGACTACACTGCATCTCTCCAGACTGCAGCTGGGCCATGCTATATTTGATTTTTTTTAAAAACCCAAAGCAAATAGATACATCTTTTCCCTTCTGCTCTGTTTTCCTAAATATGTTTTTAATGTTGGAAAGCATCAACCACTTCAGCCTGAAACAGTACAGTTGATACTATCTCTGATAATTCTCTCCTGGAACTATTGCAGGTGAATTGTAACATATTTGAAAAGTTCTCAAAATCAACAAATTGTACACTGAAATTATCTTCTGCCTTTAGAATAAATAATCAGGATATGCACAGCTGAAGTTGACATACAGTTCATGCTTTGTTCTCTGTTTTCATAATATCACAAGTCAGGGAATCAGATGACTTGTTTTAGTTGGCATTGCCACGGTTTTAAGATTACTAGTTCTCCCCACTATCCTTGTTTTGAATTCTTCTTATTCTATACTTGTTGTATATTTACATGTTAGTGCTTGCAACACTGAACAGGATTTCAAGCTCTGCTGGACTGGTCAGATGAGAACTTCAAAAATCCAGAACCTGGATTTTATAAACTCTCTAATTACTGTGGCACGGTGAAACAACAATACGGGATTCTACACTATTATCCATGTATCTATTAACCCATTTACCTATTACAGTGTTCCCTCACTTATCATGGGTGTTATGTTCCAGGACAACCCGCAAAAAGGGAAAAACCGTGAAGTAGGGATGCTATATATCTATATAGAATTTTGAGGGTGAGACGGAAGCGAGGAGAGATTTAAAGGCACCGCGCACCTTTTTTCATAGCTATCTCTGCTTTGCTTTGCAGTCTCTCTTAATTAAATGCCTCTCTCTCTCTCTCGAGGGGGAGGGTGAAACCCCCTTCCACTCTCCATCATTGTCAGGAGGCAGGATTAGAATGCTGCTCTGGGAAACAACAACAACCATTTATAAACTGGGAGGCAAAAACCCGCAAAACAGCGAGTCAGCAAAAAGCGAACCGTGAAATAGCAAGGGAAGACTATTTTTGGTCTCTTGAGAACACAATTTAAACCAAGATGTTTTAAGAGAGAGTAGGTGGTTTTGGGGCAACAAAAAAGGCCGCTTCTGAAAATGTGCTATGTATATCTATAGATAGATATAGACATATGTTTTTGGGCATTGGCATATCGTCAAAGAGATATATAGGTATATCAGTCTAATAGCTGAGAAATCTAGTTGCCTTAAATGAACACTAGTGGGTATATTTACCACTAATGAGGAGTTTGATTCAAGAGAGTTTTTAACTCTTCTCAGGAAGATCATACTTTACAAAAGACTGCTTTCTAACAAGGTCATTCCCTTCCAAAACTTTCCTGGGTTTTCCCAAATGGTTCTGAATACCCATTTCCCAAAAGGTTATGGAGATTGCCATTTTGCAAAATATCTTTATATGTCATCTGAATGTATTCTTTGGGTGTATTGTCGAAGGCTTTCATGGCCGGAATCACTGGGTTGTTGTAGGTTTTTCCAGGCTATATGGCCATGTTCTGGAGGCAATTTTTCTCCTGACGTTTCGCCTGCATCTATGGCAGGCATTCTCAGAGGTGTTAGGGTGTTTATCAAGCATGCTATACGTAATTCCTAACAGGCTGTCAAAGCTTAATTTACATTACACAAACACACAGAGACTACAGTTGCTTCTTAAAGTGAAATTATTCCACTTTAGCAAAGACATTCTTAATATGTACAGAACTATCTTCATAAGAATTGACTTCCTACATGGGTCAGTCAGAATGAACAATTCCATGCGAGGTTTACCCCTCCATGAGAGAAAATGCAGAAATCCTATTTGCTACATAAAAGCAGCTTAATCTTGGTGGGCTTATGTCTTAACAAGTGAATCAGAAAAGTGTGGGAGAGTCATCCTTTACCAAGGTCTACTGAGCAAGGCAATGTAGCACTAAGAAGCTGGAAAAGCAGGAACGGTACTATTATAAACACAGTATTACATCAATTGTTGTGCAATATGTTTAAAGAACCATCAGCCAATATAAGCCACCTTTTGCTCATTCTACTTAAAGCACTAATGTTCTACTCACCAGTTACTTTTGGGATTCCTTGCAAACGAGGAACTGGGAGAGCGACTATAATCCCCAGATTTGTTCCAACCAGTAATAAGCCATGGCACACCAGGAGGCTTGTTACAGACACACGCTGCTGTCCTGAAAGATTTGGAAAAGGCAGAATTACTTTCCCATCAGGATGTTTGCAGTTATAAAAGTAGACCCTATTGCAAAGCTGACTACTTTATAAAAAGGTTAATCATGAAGCAAACCATTAACCCAGAATGTTAATTAACATTGATCTCAGTGTCTGACAAGCAGCTCATCTAACCAATACTTCTGTTTTATCAACCAGTATTTATCAGATCTCAGTTATACTTGAAGCTGTTCTTTCATTACACTACTAAGGAAAGCAGCACATACACATTTGCTGTTGCTATCCAAGGCTGGAAATCATCTCTGTACTTAACACACATTCCAGTCCATGATAAAATAGCAAGGCAGTTTATTGAAGAATATATGAAAAGCAATTCAGAAAAAATGTATAAAAAACCAAAGTCTAAATATTAGGATACATCCGCAGAAACCAAAGCACATGAGTAACATCAAAAATCAGCAATACAAAAGCAGAATAAATCCAAAACATTGGATTCAGGAATAGTCCTCAAAAACTTGGAAACTTGAAACATAAACAAAATATGGAACTAGAAATCTCTTGACTTGACAGAAGTTCTATATTCAAACATCAATGTTGCCTTGACTAGCAATAATAGACAGAAAATCATGCCTTCTCCCCTGGAAAACTGATAAGGACTTCTTGGCTAATAGGCGTCTTGGCCTTTGTACACTCTCCTGAGAAGCTCTGTGTTGACGGAACATAAATCTCCTATCTAACTGCTTATTAATCTGTCCACCCGGACTTTCATTTTCATCCTCTGAACTCAGTTCAGTTCCTGACTTTGATTCCCTAACAATGGCCTTTCTGGAATGTGGCCTTCAGGCAGACACTGCTCATTTTCAGGGCTTAAATCTCTTGCTGGCTCTCCTGCTGCCCCTGCTGACTTGCAGACCCAGAATCCCCAGAGAGACCAGGTGCAGGCATAATCAAAGGCTGGACTACAACATTTCAAAATGCAGTTTTATTTTTCAAAAAATGAGGTGTGAAAAACAAAAGAGGATATACTATAGAACTGTAATGGATTGTTACTCTTTCTTAAATTTACATTGTGGCTATAGGTCTAGCTAATCTCAGCATCCATGGCTTCCTGTCAGACTGCTGTTTTGCCACTTGGGCTGACTTCCTACATTCTCAACATTATTCCATGAAGCTTGTTTCCTTGTCCTTGTGTTTTACTAGAAGTATGATTGATATAATCAACTATAATGATATATCTAACAGGCACATAATCAGATTAATGTATAGTTACTTGGTAGCTAAAAGAATAGTCTTATACCTGCTTACGTAAAAGTAAGCCTCAATAATGACAATGTGATTTACTTCTGAGTTGTCATATGTAGGGATGTTTTGTAAGTCTGTTGAGTTTAGAAACATCTGAACCAAATGATGCAGCCCTATAAACTATATATAGATTGCAGAGTTTGGAAATTTTCTTTGCGGAAGTTATTTTTGTACTACCTATAAAAGTGGAGCTACAGCATATTAATTGCTCCATCCCCTTTCTCTAAAATGCAAGTTTTTGTATTGTTGGGGGAAAAAAATCTTACAGAAATTCCTCCATGTTCTTGTCTAATGTTTACTTCGACTCAAGATTAATATGGAGGAAAATGAAACGATCACAACATACAGCATGAATAAAGAGTACCACCCTGAACTTCTCCACAAACAGTGACTCTACAGCATTCAGTTATTACTATTTCCAATTTCCCCTTTGTACTTACTCTTAGACTCAAAATGTGTTCTCCAGCCCAGGATATCACATTCATAGGGACAAGCCAGTCATTACAAAGAGCTGTGTTAATGGGTATTTTTCTATGGCTGTATAATTATGAAGAGACTAACCCAAAAGGGAGCAAAATAACCTGTTTCCCTTGTTGTTTTAGGGGTGGTTAGCTGCAGAGCTGTTCAAAATAGTGAACATGTTTTGCTTAATAGAATCTGTGCAGCTAAAAATTTCACTCTTGTTTCTGCTTAGAGAATCACATGAACTGGGCAACCTTTCACTTGGTGCTTAAAATAAATTACTTATGTGATTGCTAAGGATGGCTATTAAAATGATAAAACAGTACTAGCTTCCAAAAGGCAGAATGCCCATACGCTCTGTCAAAATGGATCAGAAGGGCAGCCTTGAATGAAACTGAAATGTCTGCTCTTCAAGCCAAAAGGGGAATGACAATAAGATGATCACAGCTGGAAAGAAGTGGAAGACATCTGTCAGGGGAAGGTCACTAGACCTCTCAAACAACGCCAAAAACTTGGTCCCAGATCTGTTTGTGAAAAGCAAACAATACAGGCATGCATTAAGAAATTATTTTCTTTGGAAAAAGAAGAATTACAAGTGTTGATTTCTGGAAAAACAAAGATGAGGAGGAGGAGAAAGGAGTTCTGATGGTAGCCTGCCATTATTTCAATTATATGTAAAATTTTTATATCGGCTTTATTAAAAACATATAATGTGAACTGATGTGTGTCTACCCAAAATCTGTTTCCAAGTGAACCACTGAAACTGGGGAGAGGTCAAAAGCAGTGTGTACACAAAAGTTTTAGGAATAGTTATATAGTCATAAATCTGGATTTGGGCAACTGCAGTCTTTCAGAAGCATTGACTTGACCGATTGCATCTCCTCTTACAAACTAGCTCAGGCACTGGAGTCAGCGGAGGAGGCCCTGGTCTCGGTCCCACTCCCATCTCAAACACAGCTAGTGGGAACAAGAGAGAGAGCCTTCTCCATGGTCACCCCCCACTTCTCGAACTCTCTCTCTAAAGAAATAAAGCTGCCCCCCTCCCCTCCTTCAAGAAGACATACTTTTGCTCACTAGCATATTGAGAGGAGGAGGATTAGACAATGAGAGATCACTACCGGACCTCTGGTTGAGAACTATTTCATATCTGGGCTCTGCTAGTCCATGTGAGCCCAGTTATCATCATTGGCCACACAACAAACCCACACAACTTTGTTTAGAAAGTAGATCAATGTTGGGGTTCAGCCTGAGTTTGAACTTGAACCTGATTCTCTGTTTGTTCCTCCTGATGCTAATGAAAGTATATTTACTGATGCTAGTGGAAATGTACCTTTTTATGCCAATGCTCCTGAAATTAGTGAGGAAGAAACTGCTGTAGGTTTGGAAAATGCCAATGTTCCTGAAATTAGTGAGGAAGGAACTTCTGTAGATTTGGAAAATGAAAGTACCAGTGTTCATGAGAATGTTTCAGAGGGAGACCTTGAGCTTTCCCTCCCTTCTGCACCTGTTAACTGTAATGACAACAGAAGGGGCCAAATCTGGCAAGACAGAAGTAAAACACTCAGTTTGCGTCGATCCTCCCGAATTCAAGAATTAAAAACATTGGCATCAAAACAGAAGGGCGGTTCACGGAACCGATTCTTGAGTTTTAATTGCAATACGCCAGGCTGATTGCCTCAGTTCAGGCATCGTTTCAGAATTGATGAAGACCTTGGCAGTTCTCCCGGTTCCCTGGCCATAGTTTGGAAAGATTTCTAGGATATCAAGTACGGTTAGTGGATTGCTAACAGATTCCAGTATTTTCCCAGTGAGGCTTTTGGTTTTGCTTTGTCCATTTAAATTCATGTTTGCTGATTTTGCTGTGGCTTTTGACTTGCATTTTTCCTTTATTTTGTAACCATTTTTCTTCAATAAAAAAGGATTGTTTTTCACAGCCAAGTGGGATTATTATTCTGGGATTATTATTTTGGTACTTGTTTGTTCTATGGAGGCACTGAATGTTGTACGTTGTATGTTGGAATCCGCCCTAAGTCCCCCTGAGGAGATAGGGTGGAATATAAAGTTTTACTACTATTACTACTATTACTACTACTACTACCACTATTACTACTAAAACTGTTGTTATTGTTATTATTTCACAGTTCCTATGAGCTCCCTCAGCCAATATAGTCGACAATGAGGGATTGTTGGACTGTCCTGAGTCCCCTTCGGGGTTGCGAAGGGCAGATACAAATACCGAAAATAAATAATAAAGTACTTTACGTGAGATGCAGTCCAAAAATATCCATGATTTATATATTACTTGCCTTCCACCCAACTACCATCTCTTGTATGGAGTTCCAGCCTAGGATTACATGCGATCGAAATACAGATGGTTGTGAAATAGTAAGAAGGCATGAAAGGAAAATAACAATGTTGTTGAATGTACAAAATAATGTGGTTCAAGACGGAAACCTGCACATTCCGGTTCCCTTGCTTCCTTGAAAAGAGGAATGGCTCAATATAGAAGCCATATGGTAGGTAATCACTTTCTAGTTCTAAATGTTAAGGATTAAGTTACTTAAATCAGATTATTACCAGATACAGTAAAAGTTCTTCCTCTCTGAAGCTTCAGTCCTGTGTGCCATTATGTTAATGGAACCAATATGTCCAGGCTAGATATATCATGGCAGATCCATAACTTGATTTCTCAATAGATTTGTGGCTTTTCCCTCAAGAAATGCAGCTACAGGGTGTTTAACTGCTTCCTTAATCAAATGCATACTGCCTGCCCAGCTTGGCTTACCTACATGTATGCCTTTTTCCATTACAGGTTAAATGATAGCTGAGGATGGGCATTTTATTTGGGCAAATTTGCACATAGAGAAAGAACAGCCATTGTAGTTAGTTCTTTATTATTATAAATAAACCTTTTTTATTTTTAAGATTGGACTCTGCATGTTTGCCTTAATTCTTAATTCTTTACAGGCACATATCACGGCACCATGCTTTGCTAGCTGTGAGCTGTTGCTCAACTTTAAGTGTCCTGTTTGAATTTTTTGGATGCTCTGCTTTATATATTTTGGTTGGTTTTCCCAAACAGCAGGAACGTAGGGCACTTCCTGCTCCAAAGCTCCCATTACATTTTAGTGATGAAGATCCAGGAGCTACAGAGCCTGTTGTGAAGGTAAAGAATTATTCCTGTCATTTTGTGAGAGAAACTAGATACAGGATGTGTAGGGGGTCTGTGCCCATGCCC